AAAAGATAATAACAAATAAACCAGTATATAGAAAAAAAAGAGTTGGCTAAGAGTACGCTACATATTTTATACCTTATACCATGAACGGATGTTATTTCGTATTAGATGAAAGACATTTCACTGCTGAAGTAATACTATTATTCTTATAACCAAATATATTTCGTTAACATTATTTTTCAAGGTAGTGGCTTTAATTTAAATTAAGTTAGTCAAAAACCTCCAATCAATTCGTTTGAAAGATTTGGAAATGTTATCGTTAAAGCAGTTATCGAAGTATATTTCATTTTATTTTTACCCGAAATGTAAAGCTGTCGTTACTGTTAATGTTAACAGATAATGTTAAAAGTTTAAGTTGAAGTGTCTGTTAAATCAGAGCAGGCAGTTATTTTAAAATTAACGGTACTACTGAGTTTTCGCGGTTTCACCATTAAGAATTTCTTTTCGTTTCCATACCGTGGGGCCGAAACAAAGCGTAAATATTTCGACAAGCTTGTTCTTCATATTCACAAAACGAAATGGCCCGATTACGTTAGATAAACATCTCTTGAAATAATCGTTGTAAAGGCAATACCTTGCGACCCTTAAGATCTTGAAAGCAGACAAGGAAAACTATATTAAGGTCAAAATTGCAGTTATTCATATACAAAAATATTTACAATTTTATTTAATGTAAATCAAATTTATAATTTTTTATTAATTTTAATATCAATATTATTATTTATATAACATAAATATCTTTTAGCTGTCGAGATTTGACTCAGGAAATTGTAACTTAAAGGTTATACATACCTATATACCGCGGTAGCCGAGTGGTTACCCATTCGGAAGGCCCAGGTTCAAATCCTGGTATGGCCTACATCCAAATGTTATACAAAATTAATTTAAATAATAGATTAAAATAAAATTTTCAATTTCGGTCGCCCTTCGGCAAGGAATGTCAACCTCTCCGAGTGTATTTCTGATATGAAATAAAAGCTCTTCATCATCTTGGAAAAAACATCAAGGCGCTGAACCACAACTTGGAGAAGGAGATCAGTCACTATCTGTAGCACTATCAAATAACTTCAGTTTGGTCTACAATTTAACCATGAATCGTCTTACAAACGAATAATGCTTGCAAATCATTTAATTTTAATATCAAAATTCGTACCCTGTTAGGAAAGTTCAAAAAAAAAATTGTGTTCTGCGACGAAGCTCATTTTTGGTGCGTAAATAAGCAAAATTGTCGATTTTGGAGTGAAGATCAGCCAGAAGCATTACAAGAGCTACCAATGCATCCAGAATAAGTCACAGTTCGGTGCCGTTTATGGGCTGGCGGCATCACTGGACCGTATTTCTTCAAAGATCGTAACGTAACTGCGAATGGTGACCGCTACAGTGAGATGATATCAAACTTTTTTTTCCCGAAAATGGAAAAGCTTGACTTGCATGACACGTGGTTTCAACAAGAAGGTGCCACATACCACACCGCACGCGTAACAATAAACTTTTTGAGAGGTGAGTTCGGTGAACATTTTATTTCACGTTCGGAGCCGATCAATTGGCCGCCTAGATCGTGTGATTTAACGCCTTCAGACTATTTTTTGTGGGACTATATTGAATCTTATGTCCATACAGACAAGACCGCTTGAATTGACGCATTGGAGGACAACATTGAAGCATTTATTCGTGAGATACCGGCCGAAATGTTGGCAAGAGTATGTCAAAATTGAACTAAGAGGATGGACCATTTTAGGCGCAGTCACGGTCAACATTTACATGAAATAATCTTTAAACATTAATTTTGTAGAATCTTTTAATTTTCGTGTAGACTTTTTCTGAACGATTTGTCAAAAACTGGCCAGAAACAGCATCTTTTCAGTACTCATGTCTTGTATCTTTTTATGCTCTTTAAACTCTCATTCTAATATTCAGTGACGTCACAATCAGTAGTTCTCCACATTTGAGGCGCAATCTAAGCATATTCGATCATTATTGGCTTAAACCTGTTGCGCTGCACATTTTATGTAGCTGTGTATTCTTCTACGTATGTATTTGTAACGCTTATTGTGTTTGTAGATAATACTTAGCGTAAAAGCGGTTGTATTGTGCGACTGAGCACAAGGCCTAACAAGCGCCTTTTACGTGAGTGTGCTAGGTACAACAACAATTCGTTCGTCACGCTAAATAGCTACAAGTGCGGCAGTTCAGAGAATACGTCTATTGGTATTAGCCAAAACGGCTGTGTGCAAGCTTTGAAGCGATTGGCAAAACCAGTCGAAAGCAGGTAACGAAACAGTACGGGCAGTGATACGGAATATTGTGCACCGATAACCATACTATTGGGAGCTAGTTATAGTGTGTTTTTAGTTGGTTTACATATTTTCAAAAAAAAAAAAATAAATAAAATAAAATAATTGTAAAAAATTAATAAAAAAAAATAAACAAAAAAATCTACAAAAGTGAGTTACTAAGCTGAGTGTGCTCTGCGAGCTAAGTTTGAACGCCTTTTGTGTATTTGTCATAGAGAGAGCGACAGAGAGAGAGAGAGTAGTCGTAAAAAAACAACAAAAAGTCAAATATATTATAAGCCAACAATTTAAACCAAGCTTCATTGCAAACAAATTTTACAAGCAATGACATATTTACAAGCAAGTACATATATACATACTTGCAAAAGATAAAACAAATTTGAAATAAATGTAGGTATGTATGTAAAATGAAAATGTGTCTTTAAATTTGTGCGTACATGTAAACGCGACTCATACAAGAGTACATACAAACAAAAATATTTAAAGAAAAATTTGTCAATTTTAACACCAAACTGCGACTGACCCTTTACATAATTGCAAAAACTGTGAAAAGTCGGTCAAATGAGTTGTGATTTAATCTAAAAATAAAAACTAATTATTTTTGTTCACATTGAAAATATAAAAATGATGACAGCAAATGAGGTCATAAGTGAAATGGGTTCCTTAATAATTGAAATATACACTTTAATCACGGTTTTTGTAAAATGTTTCTTCTGACATAGAGTTGTACTTATTTAGAATTGAGACCCTTACACATGGACATGCCTACATTTCAGTAAAAAAATAGTATATATTTATGTTTTAAACAGTTAACCGAAATTTCGGAGAGACCAACTCAATAAGTTTCAAAATTGAAGATATTAATATTTGAATTATCATTATGAATGTGAAGCACTAAAAAAATTTGATATGGTTTTCATTTATCTCATTTCAAAAACCCATAAAAGAATCGACCGATACAAGTTTTCTTTTCATATAATTGATTATTGGATGAAGCTTTGATATTTTCTTCAGTTTGTGAAGTTATTCGTTTTGGAACGATTGTGCATTTATTAGTGAGGTTCCCCTTTTTGTTCTCTGTTGTCATTTCGTTTCTCCATAAACAATCCAATTTGCAAAAAGTTTTCGAGATTTTGTTTCGTAATTAACATAAAAAAGACTGCAAGTAATATTTACAACTAACGATCAGAGATAAATCAGTGAATATTTCAGTGAATATTTCTATTTCTCCCTTAAATACAGACTTTACTGTGAAAAACACGAAGCTGATTTAGTTTTTTCTAGTTTTTAGAAAACATTTTAATTAACAGATTTTATGCGCACAGAGAAAGATGGTATAACAACTATATGAGCAAAAAGGCCCGAATGGTGTACACAAACTCGAAGTTTGCCTTGTCGATCGATTACACCATCCGACTAGTTGGGATTATCTTAAAATATTCAGCAATAATGCTGAAGCCGAAAGCAACTTTTTCCAGTTCGTACATTTTTTAATATGAGCTTAAAACTATGGATAAACTGAAAATGTTGGTCTTTTTAGGTTGCTATAGTCTATTTAATATTTAAATCTAAAATTTTTAATGTATATTTAGGAATGAGTTCATCAAATCGCACAGAGATCGGTTAAAAATATTTTAAAAATTTTTTGATACTCGCATCGAGCTTTTGACGTTGTGTTGTCAGTTGTTATTGGTACATATGGAGAAACAAAAAACAAATAGTAATAAATTAAACCGGAGTAGCAAATTTTTATAACAAAAGACAAATCAAATCAGCAAACAACACATACATACATAGGTAGCCATACGAGTATAATAATTAGGCAATATGGAAGGCTATATAAGTAATTCACATTAATGGGGGTCACCAAAGCTCTATTATGATGTGAAGGACGGTATAAAATCTGTAACTGTTCAATATATAATAATATCTACAGCCAGCTACCTGATCGAAATTTCTTATATTACACTGTTCAAAATAAAAGTGGTTTCCTTTAAATTTTTTTTTAATTTTTGGGTATTTCTATGGCTTTGACTGCGCAAGTAATATTGGGCGACAGTTAACAGCTTAACTCTTATTAATTATTATTTTCCTTATAATTCCTTATTATTTTTGATAAATAAAAAATTTGTACACTTTTTTAAGCAAATTTCAAATAGAAACAGGAAAAAAAAACGCTGAAAACGTACAAATTTTTGTTTTTAGTTCACCAGCGTTATTGTCCACATAACTAAATTAGGCACTTGTGACCGTTCCGAACGTTAACAATATTCTCCTTTTTCCTAACCTCCTCCTACAGCATTAGTCAAAATTATGACTCCATTTAATATTCGTAAAGGGTGTACAAAATTAATTTGAAGCAACACAAATTTTGCCCAAAAACTTGTAGATTTAAATACATACCCACTCATGCAATACTCCAAAGCTTCAAAACAATATCCAAAGAGAGTAAAAGGTAACAGTCGTCCAAGCCAAAAATAAAATTTTACCAAAAATATGGCAGTATGCAGCAGCGGATAGCAGTAACGAGTTTTGACTTCAACAACTTGTTGCAGCTTGTCTGACAGATGCTATTGGACAAATACATACGTGTACATACATGCATAGTTTTTTTCATTTTGATTGTCTCTTTGAAAGCTTTACGCTTAAGGTTGTACAAATGTATATGATATGCTGCATTAGTGTTAGTGAACTTGTGTATAAACGAAATACATTATATATATATGTACGTGTGTATTTGTTTTATTTTCCTGTTTGCGAAACTACACAGATTGAGAGAGATTTTGGAGACTTTGGATACTCAGAAATAGCAAGCAAAATATAAAAATTGCACACAAAGGAAGCACAAGAGAATTTGAAAAACTGCCCACAAACACGGAATTTGAATGTCTATAAAATTGAGGTAAGTCAAAAGTAATATATAAGAAGATCCCAGAAACAACCATTATTAATTACATAATATGAGTACATATGTGTGTGCTCGTGTCCGGTCTATCATATATTTAGTTTTATTTATTATTTACATTCAAAATTAAATTAATTTTTTAAATATTTTGCTCGCATTTTACTTCGTCTCTTTTCGCTTCTCGGTAAAATATGTTGCCTTCCCTCAATGTAAGATTTTAATTATGAACCATGACGCCCTAAATACATGATTTGTTGATACTTGGTAAAAGAGAAATTTTCGGTAAATTAATATATAATATTGATAAAAAGCCAAGAAATAGAGCAAGCGGTACAACTCTACAATATTTCGTATAACCAACTTGTATCGATATATATGAGCACTCCCATTTTAGTTTTAAACTATATATATGAAAATACAGTTTTATTAGTGAAACTGTGTAGATCAAGCCCATGTGCCTCTTTTTTCTATGGTTGATAACTGTGCAAGACACACGATTACATAACTCATAATTATGTTTCAAAAACAAAATCATTAAAAGGCATGCACATGAAAATACTTACGAGCATTGTTCCAAGTGAACCATGACGTCAGTTAGCTAACTGATTTTCATGTAGTTATACTACGATGTTGCATGCTGAGCTTGGATAATTATCAAGAACTGTGATTTGGGAGAAGCACGCAACGAAGAGCAGAATATTGTTGTATTAAATTAACCTATATAAAAGAATCATGTGTTGCCACAAGTACACAAGATATACGTATGTAGCTCATACAAGGAGATGTACGAGTATATGCTAGTATACCGTATATATAGTAGTACGTATGTGTACACCATTCGTACGTTATTTCTGTTTAAGGACCGACGTTATCCGCCATCATTTTTTGATATGATACTTAATTTCCGAATTGTTGTTTTTATTTTTGGAAAATACTAGTATTATTAACTATATTAGTAACCACATTCATTTACAGGTAGTGCCATATCTTTGGCTTTTCACAAAAATCGAAGTTTTTCTTAGAAAGTACCAAGTAATTTTAAACACAGCTCATTATTAAATTTCATTATGCCTCTCTCATACACCTCACCGGCGAAATTTGGATAAGCGATTTTCATTCCCGGCTCTTGAACTCAATTTCTCATCAGCCAAATCATTCGCCATAGGCAGGAGCAGATAGTAATCACTTGTTGCGAGGTTTGGACTATAAGTTGGATGCATAAAAATCTTCTAATGCTGAGTCACAACCGATGTGTGTGGTCTGGCGTTGTCCTGTTGAAACACTATTGCGCTCCTGTTGGCATAAACTGGGTGCTTTTGGGCGATTGCTTCAGAGGGTCTTAGGGGAGTACCTCATAGTGGATGATTCCTTGCCAATCGCACTGCCCCAAACTCTGGCTGAAAACCTTCACTTGCAGGTCGTTTGTATCGGCACACTGCCTTTCGTCCCCTTCTACTTTTGTTTGATGTGGCTGACGTTGCAATTGGCTTTGCTTTCCACACTACTCAAATTTTCAGCTGCCTCACTTGAATTTTCGCCTATATCGAAGAAAATCTGTAGACCGTAATGTATTTTCTCTTAGCTTTTGTCTATCTTATGCGCTTAAATACTCCTGAGTTACGTGCTACTTTGGACTAAGTAGGAAAAACTCAGTGGGAACTCGTCTGACGGCGAATACCACACAAAAATTTTGAAACGAGCTGTATGAAAAGATAGCGGCTGAGCTGAAAATGCCATTTTTCAAAATGATCCATAGATTTTTTCCATCAAAATTTGGTCTGAACCGACTGGCGACCATAAATATTTTCGGTAAGCTTGAGTGTGGGCTCATTAGTCAATTTAAAACTGCTGTTATGACCAGTAGCTGTTGCCAGCATTACCATAAACTACTCATATCATGAGTTAGTCGCCCCTAAGTTTCGGGTTCTCCTAAATTGAATGTTTATTTAACTAAAAGTTTTGGATACAAACTGGCATTAGGCTCGGGTTAAAATCCTGGTGTCTCGTACTAGCATCCAAAAAGTTATGGAAAATTTATTTAAAATAAAAAATTAATTTCATTTTTCTAATTGCGGTCGCTCCTCGGCAGATAAAGTCAACCCCTCCGAGTGTATTTTTGACATGAAATAAAGCTCCTCATAAAAAACCGCAGCCGTTCGGATGGGGCTTAGTATGAGATGTTGGTCCCTCCACTACACTCTTGCCTTACGTTAGAAATTTGCTTACCGCTCAAGAACTACTAGTGGGTTTCGCTGGCTTATGCTTGTAAAACATTAAATTGCACGCTTTTAAGTGCTTTTTTAATGAATTTTTCTCGGATATAAACAAATCGCTTATGTGAAGGTTGTATGCCCGCTGATTTCGGTAATTTTCAGTTTCAATGTTTTTATTTAAATATTTTAAATACATGTGTTTAATGCCAGATTCCAGATGTTCTTTGGCAGTCTTTGACTTAAAATCTTGTATCTGAACAGATCCACTTTTTTAGTGGGTCTCCATTCTCATTCTTGTACTTACATACTTCAATATATCAATTTATCTTTATGAGAGGGCCAAAAATACATAGGGATGTAGTATAAAAATGTATTCTATATATTCAAGAATATTGGTTATCTACTCGCATATTTAAAGATTATTTTGTGTCCAGCTTCGGCATATCACTCGGAAATTATTATATATATATAAATTTTTTTCTTTATGGAATTATTATTAGTTAAGTATATTATTGCATATGCATACATATGCACAAATGAGTATGTATATGTACAATACCATGTGGGTTGGCTACCTTTTCGTGTGTTAAACCAAGTTGGTTGGCCGCATGAAATACTTGCAAAAACCAAGAATAAGTAACATAATATGTAAAAGCTGTCTGAATTCCAAAAAATATACTTACCATGTAAGTAAAAGTTTGTGGGCGTAAAGTCTATAGATGGCTTGCTGATTATTCAATTGCAAACTTGTTTGGCTATTTGACGCCCGTGGAACGCAATCATGTTATTGGATTTGTTTCTTAAGTCTTTTTGGTTTTGGATTTTGTGTTGGCAGCCAACGCAATGGCTGTTCTTCAACGACAACCTACAATGTCTGTATTGAGTATGCAAACACCGCAAAAATGTATATACATATAAATAGATATACATATGTATCCATATATTTATATTATATTTAGCGGTCTGCACAGTCATATATTGTACGTAAGTCATGTAGGTTCATGTAGCCAATCTAGTTTTACCAAGATTCCTTAATTTTTTATAACTTTTTTTTATGGTAGGATAAAATAATGGCAAAAATATATGTATCATATAATAGCGGTCAACTCGTTCGGTCGGGGGTAACCGATGACTGAAGTGTTTTTGGAAAAACTTCTCATTGAAATGTACTGAAAGCACTAAAATAAGAGCGATTCTGAACACCGTATTAAACTGTAACTCTTAGAAACCACTTTTTTACTCCAATATGCATGGCAAATATGTTTTTATCTCCTTAAATATTTAACAGCTTTGACTAAGTGGACTATTTTGGCCTGTCGATTTATATGTGTAATATTAAAGAACTAACAAAGGACTTCAAACTCCTGCTAATACCATTTGCTAGTAAAGTTAACACAAAACTTTTTAACACAACACAACAACACAAAATTTTTTTATACAGGTTCCAAAAATCCGAAAATAATACCCTTTGGTGATATTCGGACAAAGATTTTTAAAAATGTGAACTGAAAAGAAATTTGTACATTCAGAATAGATTAAAATTTAAAATTATCATACAACATAACAAAATTCACTGAAATGGGAGTAGAAGAGATACAAGTTCATATACAGCTCTTCATTAACTAATTTTATTTGTTAGAAACTAATCTTTTTTTTTAACCTTTTTTAAAGCCAAAAGCTATACTTCATACGATTATCTTCATTGTTGCAGTGCCATTTATTAGGATATCTTAATTCAATAGTTTACTTATCTTAAATGCAACACTGTAGTTTATTGTATCAGCTGGAGTAGTGCTGGGTAGTCTGCAACCGAATAAGTCATGAGATTAATGATTGACTACCACATTAAGGCGTTTGCATGTAAATTAGCATCGTATGCTTTGGCATTAAAAAGATTTATTACACGTCAAAATAGGTAATTTGCGTTACCTTCGCTTACATACGCTGCGGGTAAAATGCTACTTTCTGTCCTCAATTTCGTTCTCTTGTCGCTGGCGGCAAGACCATGTTGCCGTGTACATATAGAACAACCGAATATTTTCAACAAAAGAATTTGTACATACATACATAGTTACATACTTATAAAAGTCTCTTCACATAACTATAACATTGAAGCGGTTTTCGGCTGAGCTTCTCCTCATATTTTGGCCTGCTTGAAATGAAGAGACCTACCATATATTCTAAGCCATTTCAGAGCGGTCGATAATTTTTAGTGAAGAACTTTTAGTTTTCATACACTAGAATGGATTGACACTCCACGCCGAGGGGCGTATTAATAAATTATCTAAAATTTTGTATGTTGAAATAGAACTTCGAAACCTGGCCTTCATAACTCCTCTATTGCGGCAGAATGAGCACAGCTGATTTTTAAAATGATTGTTCAACAAGTACAATCGTAATTATATTCAAGTTGCAATATTTTTTAAACTATGTAGGTATTTGTATTCACGTATATTCAAGAGTCTTAAATTTCTGGCGATATTGAAGTTTATCGAACTTATTGCCTCATCGCTTCAAAGTATCGCTCTCCATTTAGACACATTTAACAGCTAGCCGATTGAGTGTATATGTATGTAATATATGAATATAATACTTTTAGTTGCATATGTGTAATTGTGGCATCCAGCCAACTTATTTTTCTAGTATTTTTCTACTAAGCATTCCACCGACCATTAATAATGGTTACACCTGGAAGCATAGTTTTGTGGATTACATATACTAGTGCCCTTAAAAATTTATTCACATGCAACCGGTATGTAATGGTATTTTTGTTCAACGAAAATC